TACAGGCATGAGCCGCTGCTTCAGACCTCCATCTCCTAAAGAAAAAAAAAAGTCAGTTGTCTTTCCCTCCAAAAACCTTTACCACTAGAATTATCAGGTCTGGTTTCCACAATGCTGTTCCCCAGGAGAGGAGAAGTGACTTGTCGTTCACACACAAAGCACTGGGTTGAAGAAAAGGACCAGTGTGTGCTTGTGAGGACATCCCTCGACTGCACCTGGCCCTCACACTGCGCATTTGGGCTCTTCGATGGCTGTGGACCAGGGCATGGGGACCTCACGTGGCTGAGCACATGGCAGGTCCCAAGGTGGCTTGCATTCAGGTGACCTCACCAAGAAGGCATCAAAAAGCAGTGGAGGGAAAATTAGATGGCAAGTCTGATGGGTGGGGAAGCAGTGTCCACTGAGCTGTGAGACCAACCGCCTTTCAACGAGGCATTAGCCTGCGGTCACAGCTCTCCTTCAAACCACTCTGCTCTTGGGCTCCTTGCCAAGCTCCTTAGTCTTCTCGCCAAGCGGGAAGCAGGTCAGCAGGCTCTGGGTGGGGGCTGGGCTCCTGGCAGGCTGGCGCTGGCCGGGGCAGAGCTGTCCTCGCCCCTGATACTGGGCAGTTGGTGCGTGACCCTAACTACCCTGCCTCTCAGGTAGAAGCTAGCCTGCTGGGTTCCTCCAGGAAGGTGCTAGCAGCAGTGATGAATCTGCAGGGATCTATCCCGCTCTTCGCATACACCCCGGAGTCAAGCAATTGTTTTGCTTTTTATTCAGCCAGGGAGCATTTGTTGAGCTCCTACTTTATGTAGCACACTAGGCTAGAAATGTAGAGACAAAAGACAAATCTCTCCATTGAGGACGGTGGTGAGTGGGAGGCGCCATGGACTGAATGTTTGTGTCCCTTCCAAATGCATGCATTGATGCCTAAATCTTTAATGTGCTGATATTAGGAGGTGGAGCCTTTGGGAGGTAATTAGGTTTAGATGTGCTCTGAGCCGCCTCTGATGGGATTAACGCCCTGATAAAAAGAGAAAGAGACAAAAGAGCTCTCTCTGTCCTCTTTGTGCACACACCAAGGAAAGTCCATGCATCTTAGTCCATTTGCGTTGCTATAAAGGAATACCTGCGCCTGGGTTATTTATACAGAAAGGTGGTTTATGGGGCTTCACGGTTCTGCAGGCCGTACAAGAAGCATGGCCCCAGCATCGGCTTCTGGTGAGGGCCTCAGGAAGTTTCCACTCACGGTGGAAGGCAAAGGGGAGCAGGCATCACATGGGGAGAGAGGAATTGAGAGGAGGGAGCCCAGGCTCTGTTTAACAACCATTTCTCATGGGGACTAATACAGCAAGAGCTCGCTGAGGAGGGGAGGACGGCACCAAGACATTCATACGGGACCCGCCCCCATGACCAAACTCCTCCCACTAGGCCCCACCTCCAACACTGAGGATCAAATTTCAACATGAGATTGGATGTGGCCAAAAACACTGTATCCAAACCACGGCACCATGTGAAGACCTAATCAGGCAGAGAGCCCTCACCAAGAACCAACCACACTGGCACCTGGATCTTGGACTCTGAGACTTCCAGCCTCCAGAACTCTGAGAAATCCATGTTTGTGATTTAAGTCCCAGATCTGTGTGTTCTGTTACTGCAGCCTGAGCTGACCAAGAAAGGAGGAGCCAGCTCCAGCCCCAGGGTGCCCATTCTTTGGGTGGGTGTCTTGGGGAGGGGTTGCTATTCTTTCCCTGTCACTGATAAATTTCAACTTGAAAATCCCTTTCATTTGAGATATTCCCCAGGGCCTGAGAATGATGCTGACCCCTCAGCCTCCTTTTGAGGGACAGTATCCTGGAATGGGTGGAGTTGTCCTGGGCCTTGCATCCCACTAAGGATGTGCCAAAATTAAGGCTGTCGAGGCAGAAGTAATTCCATAAAGGTTCATTGGAAGCCAAGTGTGAGGATCCATGAGGGAAGACACACCAACAAAGCTGGGTGTGTTCCAGAACCTCTCACAGGTTGGAAGCTTATCTAGAAAGTGTCGGAGAAGGGAGAGCTCCTCCTGTCAGAGGTATCCTTTTCCCCTGATGGCTGCAACATACAGGTTACATTCATTGGCTATAGATGACAACATACAGGCTAACATTCCATGTGCAAGACAATCAGTAGAATGTTGTGATTCAGAAACAAATGTGTCATTTTTTTTTTTTTGAGACACTGTCTCACTGTCACCTAAGCTGGAGCACAGTGTCATAATCATAGCTGACTGTAACCTCAACCTCCTGGGCTCAAGCCATCCTCCTGCCCCAGCCTTCCGAGTAGCTGGGACTATAAGCACACACCACCATGCCCAGCTAATTTTAAAAATATTTTTTGTAGAGACAGGGTGAGAATGAGCTGGGAAAGCAAGGACAGGGGGTGTGACAGGGAGGTCTCTCCATGTTGCCCAGGCTTGTCTTGAACTCTTGGCCTCAAGCAATTCTTCTGCCTCTGCCTCTGCCTCTGAGTGGCAGAATTACAGGCGTGAGCTACTCCACCCGGCTCCAGTGTCTTTTCGATGCCAGTAGGTTATGTATTAATCAGTATGTCAACAGTTTGAGGAGCTCACTGTAAGACTGGAGGGCCTCGGGATAAGAACCTTTTCTCAGAGACAGGATGTAAGCCATGAATCACGAGACCTTCCCCCGGTGGTTAATCGGGAAGCCTGCCAAATGTGACCTGTACGTTATCAGATGGGTGTCAAATCTGTGCTCTCTGGGACTAGCCATTGGCCAATCACACATGGCAGTTGAAACTTACACTAAGTAATAGAAAAAGTCCAGCGCCTCAGTCACATTAGCCACTTCAAGTGCTCAGTACCCACAGGCAGTACCCAGTGGCTACCATCGGGCGCAGGGCAGAGCTGGGATGCTTCTGCCATCACTGTACGTTCTATGGGAGGTTTCACTGCCTAGGTGCTGGCAACGGACGGTGGTACACTGTGGGCAAGCTATGGAGGGGAGGGCCTGAACCCACTGAGGTGGGGCTGGGGGTAATGAGCCCCATGGTGCAGGGAAACGCTTCCCCGAGGATCTTCAACTCTGCCGTTCCTCAGCCTGTGGCTCTGCTCTCTCTGAGCAGACAGACCCCAGCCCTTGACCTCCCTTACATGCTGGTGCGCCTCAGAACTGGGCCTGCTTCCTCCTCTTCCACATACCTCCCTGTGTCTTTTCATCCACTCCATGGCTTCCTTTGCCATCTTTTCCACAGGTTTTCAGCTGAGGCTGCACTTGCATAGTCCAGGGGATCGCAAACTGCATCAGAACCCCCTGGAGGGCTTGGTAAACCCGACTCCTGGGCTTCACCAGCGGCTTCTCATCCGCAGATCTGGGTGCAGCCAGAGATGGTGCACCTCAACAAATCTCCCAGTGACGCTTACGTTGCTGGTCTAGAACCACACTTTGGACAACCGTTGGTGTTGTCTAAAGAATCACATTCATTGATGCATGCATTCAACAAATATTTATTTAATGCTAACATGTGCCAGGCGCTCTTCCAGTGCTGGGATAAGCTGCAAACCACCCAGAAAAGCCCATCCTATATCGTAGGACAGCAAACACACTTTCTAGGTTGGGTGGTGACAACTGCTAGGAGGAAGAATAAGCCAGTGGAAGGAGAGGGGGCTATCGAACAAGGTCATGAGGAAAGTCCTCACTGACACGGTGACATCCGAGCAGAGACCTGGGAGGGGACCTGGGGGAGAAGGAGACCCTGGCCTTTCTGATTCTGCTTTGTTCTATCCTCAGCTTTTTAATATGAAACATGAGAGTCATGTTAAAAATCAAGGTCACAATCTGGATGGGCATGATGGCTCCCACCTGTAATCCCAGCACTTCGGGAGGCCAAGGTGGGAGGATCGCTTGAGGCCAGGATTTCGAGACCACCCTGGGCACCATCTCTACTAAAAAATGCAAAAGGCCGGGCATGGTGGTGCACACCTGTAATCCCAGCATTTTGGGAGGCCGAGGCGGGCAGATCATAAGGTCAAGAGGTCAACACCATCCTGGCCAACATGGTGAAATTCTGTCTCTACCAGAAAAAAAATACAAAAACTAGCTGGGCATGGTGGTGCACACCTGTAGTCCCAGCTCTCAGGAGGCTGATGCGGGAGGATCACTTCAGCCTGAGAGGTTGAGGCTGCAGTGAGTCATGATTGAGCCACAGCACTCTAGCCTGGGCAACGCTGTCTCAAAAAAAAAAAAATCAAGGTCACAGCCTACTCAGTAGCTAGGTTTTAAAGGCAAAATCAGTTGTCTGTTCTGTGGTTCGTTACAAAGAAGCCTGGTGCCAAAAGCCGTAGATTTGAGCTCAGCTTGCAGTTTCACCCTCGGGCCCCAGCAACGGATCCTCGTGCTTCAGAAGACCCTGCTGACCACGCCTCTCTCTTCAGGGTGACGAATCCCCATGGCTAGGGGTACTGGGCTAGGAGCCCGTGTGCCCCTTCTAGAGGATGCCTTAGGATCCCAGTCCATACACCTAGTCAACCTCCAGGACCCACAGGCCCCTTCCTGTCCATGCTTCAGGGCAGACCACTCCCCAAGGCGTGCACCCCATGCCAGGAGATGACTATGTGGGGATCGGGTGGACGGAACTTGACCTGGGGTCTGGAATGTCCATACAGGTATGTACTGATGATGGATAGAGGGGGCCAGGCCAAGTCAAGGGCTCTATTTATCTTCTTGTCTTGGGCTCTGCAAACAACTGGGGCAGCCTGTTCACTTCAGCCAATTAGCTGAGTGCTCCTTACCTCTATCCAGCTTTGGCAACAAGAAAGGAGAATGTAGACCAATCAATCAACCACATAAACAAATGTTGTAGGGATCGTGGGTCAGTGGTGGTCCCTTCATCAATGAGAACAGCAGGCACGTGGGATCAGTCCTATCCTCTCTTATAAGCATAAGCTTTTACGCTGAAGTGCAAATTTTGTGTGCCTTTCACACCTAATTTTTCTTTTCAACATGTGATATCTTTTTCAGGCACAACTATCTCAGGCCTTAAACGGAGTTTCAGATAAGGCAAAGGAAGCAAAGGAGTTTCTGGTTCAGCTAAAGAACATACTGCAGCAGGTCCAGGTGAGCACAGCTCCGGCATTGGGAGAGATGCTCAATGTGGAAAGTTTGCATGTTGTGCATCGTATTCAGAAGAAAGGAAAAGTCTTGTGATGAACATTTTATCAGTGATGGACTTTAGAAGGCTAATGTGCCCTGCCCTATAGCCTTGGGTGCTAAAAGTATCACATACTCAACTCATTGGCACACACGCAATACCTGATACAGGAGCCAGTTAGAGAGAGCCGGAAAGACGTGATCTAGCACTCTCCATGCCATGTCATCCTATGTGACATCTGTATGTGGCGATTTTGTGGCCAAATACGCCCATGTCATCAATGCATCAAAATATCAATGCTTCATTTACTAAACAAATGTATTTACTGAACTCTTACACTATGTCATGTACTGAGTGCATCACAAGACACAAAAATCAATGAGGCACCATTTCTGACCTCAGGGTCTGTCTATAGGGGAGAACGTGCACACATAGGTGCTCCTGTGTGAATGTGCACACATGGAGGAACTGCTCATAAGATTAGAAACCCATAAAGCATTCACATATCTGGAGGAAGAGAAGGGACTGAGGGCCCTTGGATTCTCTTTTTTTTTTTTTTTTTTGAGACGGAGTCTCGCTGTGTCACCCAGGCTGGAGTGTAGTGGCACGATCTCAGCTCACTACAACCTCCGCCCTCTGTCTCCTGGGCTCAAGTGATTCTCCTGCCTCAGCCTCTGGAGTAGCTGGGGCTACAGGCACACACCAGCATGCCCGACTAATTTTTTGTATTTTTGAGTAGAGACGGGCTTTCACCATATTGGCCAGGCTGGTCTTGAACTCCTGACCTCGTGATCCACCCACCTCACCTCCCAAAGTGCTAGGATTACAGGTTTGAGCCACTGCGCCCAGCCCCTTGAATTCTTAAAAAACCATCCTTCCTAACAAGTTAAGTACAGACTTCAGCCACAGGGCATTTTAAGTCATAATGTTTCCCATGTTTCACAGACATGAGATATATTAGCCTGCTGGGGCTGCCATTGCAAGATGCCAGAGATCGAGTGCCTTACGCAGCAGAAATCTATTTTCTCATAGCTCTAGAGGCTGGAAGTCTGAGATGAAGCATCAGCAGGGTTGGTTCTCTTGAGGCCTCTCGCCTTGGCCTGTGGATGGCCGTCTTCTCCCTGCGTCCTCACCTCTGTGTGACCTCTGTGTGTCTGTGTCCTCATTTCTTCTTGTAAGGACGCCAGTTATAGTGGACCAGCGTCCACCCGTACAACCTCATTTTACGTAATGGCCTCTTTAAGGGCCTTATCTCCAAATATAATCACATTCAGAGGCCCTGGGGAGGGTTAGGGCTTCAATGTATGAACATGGGAAGACAAAATTCAACTCATAACATGAGGTCTGGATACACACTGACGCCCAGAAGGATTTTTTTTTAACAAACAGTGTTGGATGCCAGCCCCAACCCTGTACGTGGTGCCCTTAGTCCCAGTGGTGACAAGGGAGTGAGAAAAGAAATAAAGACAAGAGTAGGGTCCCACAGCATGGGTCCAGGGGACCAACGCAAGAAGCACAGGATGGTGTTGGCGTTGAGCTCTCGGCTCCACACACCTTTATTAGGTGCATTATCTTGTTAACCTTGTGGGCTGTGGTGAGGGGAGGTGAGAACGGTAAACTAAAGCTATCCTGGGGTAAGATCAAATGGAGGGAGAGTGTGAGTCTACAGCATTCAGTAGCAAACGTGGTTCTTCTAAGAAATGCTAACTTAGGACACCGAATTTTGCCATAATTGTTATCAAGGTGCATCTGTGTAGGAGCACAGCAGATAAGGTGCCCCCAGGTCTGACCACACACAATGCCTCAGGGGCTTTTATCTCCAGGGCATTGCAGACGAAGAGCAATCAGAGTTAGTCCATATTCTGAGAACCTAGGCAGAGCCTGTGGCATTCTGGTTATCTCTGCCCTGCAAGACTTTCCTGTCCCACAAGCTCCCATCTGCAAAGACCCTCCCGAGTCTTGTGAGCAGAGGTCCCATTCCTTTGCCAGAGTTCTTGCACAAGCCCTCTTTACCAGACCCTCACGCAGACCCTATGTTGGGAAGAGACAGTGGGACCAAAGCAGCTTTCCTGCCTTGCAACCACACCGCGGCGTTCCGCAGTTTTAAAGCGCTCTCAGGTGGTCTTCAGCCTCCTGTTACTGCTTGATTTCTGCTTTTTTTTTTTTTTTTTTTTTTGTAGACGGAGTTTCACTCATGTTACCCAGGCTGGAGTGCAATGGCGCGATCTCGGCTCACCGCAACCTCCGCCTCCTGGGTTCAGGCAATTCTCCTGCCTCAGCCTCCTGAGTAGCTGGGATTACAGACACGCGCCACCATGCCCAGCTGATTTTTTGTATTTTTAGTAGAGACGGGGTTTCACCATGTTGACCAGGATGGTCTCGATCTCTTGACCTCGTGATCCACCCGCCTCGGCCTCCCAAAGTGCTGGGATTACAGGCTTGAGCCACCGCGCCCGGCCTTGATTTCTGCTTTTACAGGCCTTAAACAATTTTTACTTTACTGCACCATTGTTTGGAGTTTTCTTAACATTTGATCTGTGGCACGAATCTCAGTGTATAAAAGGCAAAGCAAGCTTGTGATCATTTAACAGAAATAACACAGGTCTGCCCCTGGCCATCTTGGCCCACAGCTGAGACAGACAGACTTGACTGCAAGAGCACTATTTTTTGTTTGTCTTACTTTGTTCCAATTATAAAAAGCACAAGTACGTGTTACAGAAACTTTGGAAGGAACTAAGAAAAAGTTCACCAATATCTCCCCATCTGAGATGACCGCTCTCACTGCTTTGATACATATTGTTCTATTGCTTTAAACACACACACACACACACACACACACACACACACACACACACACACAGTGTATGTGATTATGCTGTGAACAACGTGTATCTTGCCTTTTTTCCTTCTTAGCAGTCTGTCATGAGCATTTTCCCATGGCATTAAAAATGCCCTGTGAACAAGATTTGAATGACTACAGAATATTCTGCCGTATGAATGTGCTGAGATTCATAGTACCTGCCTTAATTCATATAAATATTGCCTCTAACTTACCGACATTATAGAGAACTCCAGGATGAACTACTTTGAAATATATCTTTGTCTACAGCACTCACCAGATTTTAGTGTCTTCTCCCCTCTAACTCTCTGCTTCTCCCCATCCCTGCCAGGAAAACGGACTGGACTACGAAGCCTGCCTGGTTGCTCAGTGTGATGCCCTTGTGGATGCTTTAACTCGTCAGAAAGCCAAGCTGCTCACCAAGGTGACTAAAGAGAGGGAGCACAAACTGAAGGTAGGTCCCTGGGGGACTGACACATTGAATCCCCACCACATCCTCTGCACCCAATGTGGGGTGGAGCACACAGTAGGCACTGGGTAAACATCCGCTAAGTGAGTGAGTGAATGAATGAACGAATGAATGAGGCAAGGAAGGGATGCATCAGCTAATTCCGTTACCTTCCTGTGACCTGACAGAGACCAATCTATATGCCCTGTATATCTTGCAGGTTTCAAGTCAGAAGCCCACCCTCTACCTCCCTGTTTCTGTCTAAAGGACTATTCTTGTTCTCATTTTGCAGAGCAGAAGTGACTGATGACAGTGACTAGCCCTGACCCTGTTCAGGTCTCCCATTCTGTCTCCTTCTTCAGGTTTTCTCTGATATCTCACCTACTCAATAGTCAGCAATAACATACACAGCCAGTTCCCACCAAGGGAAGATGGGGCTCTCCCCCTCACATCACGCTGAGTCTCCAACTCAGCCAGGTACCCATGAACTCTCTGAGTTGATGATGGGCTCTCACTGTCCAAGGAGCTCATCTATGCTAGAGACGTTTCCTAACTGGACCACAAAATATTACTGTCAAGAAAAGGAGGAATGTGTGCTGGGGATGATCCCATGGTTAATAAGTGAAGGGGCATCATCCAGGGACACTGAGAAGTCGGAAACCAGTCAAGAAGCTGGTCACTGATTGTATGGAGAGTTTCAGATTATGCTTTCTCTGCATGGCTATTATGAGTTTGGAAAGGTTTCTGTGTTGGGTGTTGTAGCTTGTTGGGAAGTGAGTCCACTTATTTCCCAGCAAAGAAGACACACAGAGCTCAGCAGCAGAGCTGAGAGAGAAGCAGGTGCGAGGTGGTCCAGGCAGCACCGCCTCTTCCAGGCTGTGTTGGCACTAGTTCTCTGACTATTGCGGTGGCCTGCCTGCTCTTCCTCTCATGAGACGGTTACTTAGAGGAGTCTTTCCATTGTAGATGGTTTGGGACCAGATCAACCACTGCACATTGAAACTGCGCCAGTCCACAGGACTGATGGAATATTGCCTAGAGGTGATCAAGGAGAACGACCCTGCTGGGTTCTTACAGGTGAGCCCGCCCCTAGAAGACACCAGGTGGGCTTCCTCCAACTGCCCTGTCATTCCCCAAATCAGCCCAAGTTCTAGACAAGACTCTTTCATGGCTCTAAGTTGAGTAGATTCTCCTTTGCTCAGTGATTCCTGAAGACCTAGGCTCTCACCCTGGCTCTGACTCTCACTAGATGTGACCTAATTTTGCAGCATGCATGAAATGAGGAGGTGAAATGACATCATCTCTAGGGCTGAAATGCCTCACTGCAACATTTTCCACACAAATGGGAAAGGACAGTCTTGCCAAACAAGCTGGACAGATTTCGCCAGAAGAAAAGTTAGCAGAATCCACATGGCCATTATCTCAATGTGCCGAGTGCTGCAGGCCTGGCCGGTGACCAGCTGCGCTCAGAGACAGTGCAATCTTCTCAGGGCCGTCTCTCCTGTATTCAGGCTGACTCAGGGTCATGAGTATCTCTCAGGAAACTAGCAGTGATTCAGCCTCTGTCTGTGAGGAAAATGATGAATCCCTTTGATGATTTTCCAAGAAAGATACATGAGATCCTGGCTGGACAGGAACACGTGCCAAGATTTGATAAGCAGGACCTTCCAGCAAAGGAGAGCAGGACTGTGGGTGTGATACAGTCAGGTTTGGAGCAGAAGTTGCAGAACAGCTCAGAGGAGACCCAGGCAGGGGGCAGATGTGGGCTTCAAAACTTCAGGGGTATGAAATACGGTTTCTTTAGACACAGGGCAAACTACTAGTATGTTTTACTCCGCAAAGTACTAGATCTGGGAAACAGATCTAATGAAGGCTGCATTTGCATATTTTAAATGCATCTTGTATTTCTCAGTAGTGTTCGCTACAATCTCTTTAGCAAGCGCTTCTTTTCATTTCAAGTGATTATGAAATACGATTAAAACAACATTTCGATGCATGTTTATGCAGCCAGTGCTAGATAGGCAGGGGTCATTTAATCTCTGCCGTGGCTTCAGAACACAGCCCTTTTCTGTCTCTGAGCCCCATAGAGACAAAGCCCCTACCTCTTCCTCACCACTGCCTGCACAATGTTTTCTCTGCAAAGCAAAACCTTAAACTCTTTGCTCCCCTTTAAGATCTCAGATGCTCTGATCAAGCGTGTCCAGGTGTCTCAGGAACAGTGGGTCAAAGGCGCCCTGGAGCCGAAAGTGTCTGCGGAGTTTGATCTGACCTTGGACAGTGAGCCGCTGCTGCAGGCCATCCACCAGCTGGACTTCATTCAGATGAAATGTAGGGGTGAGCCGTGGTTGGCCCCAGTTCAGCCAGTGCTTCTTTCAAAAGAGGCATGCAGTCTGAGGGGGCAGCTGGGTGCTGTAGGGAGACCTGTGACATACGGAGTGTGGCAGGGTGGGACAGAGTCACGGACCTAGTTTCCAGTCCCAGCTCAGCCCCTGGCAGCCGTGTGCGCTGGGGTGAGAAGTGCCCAGCCGGAACCGGAGACTTCCCATTTGTGAAACGACAATCATTTATTCATTCAGAAGTGCTTGGGGAGTGTCTCCCATGTGCCAGGCACTCTTCCACGTGCTCAGGATGCAGTGGTGAACAAGTCTACCAACTCACGAGATTGGGCTTACACTCTAGAGGAGGAAATAGACACTAAACAAATGTATAATAGAATGTTCGATGGTGGCAGGTGCTATGAAGAGGAATCAGGAAGGGGCAGCCGTACATGCCATGGGGTGAGATCTAATGTGAGGAGAAGGAGGTGGTGGCAGAGGAGGAGGAAGTAGAAGAGGTAGTGGTGGATGAGGAGGGGGAGCAGGAGGAAGAGGTAGTGGAAGAGGAAGAGGAAGAGGGAGTAGAGGAGAAGGGGGCAGTGGAGGACGAGGAGGATGTGAAGGAGAAGGAGGCGGTGGCAGAGGAGGGGTGGTGGAAGAGGTAGTGGAGGAGGAGGAGAAGGTGGAGGAGGAGGATGAGGAGGTGGAGGAGGTGGAGGAAGAGGAGGATGAGGAGGTGGAGGAGGTGGAGGAAGAGGAGGATGAGGAGGAGGTGGAGGAGGAGGAGGTGGAGGAGGAGGAGGTGGAGGAGGTGGAGGAGGAGGAGGAGCAGGTGGAGGAGGTGGAGGAGGTGGAGGAGGAGGAGGAGCAGGTAGAGGAGGTGGAGGAGGTGGAGGAGGTGGAGGAGGAAGAGCAGGTGGAGCAGGTGGAGGAGGAGGAGGATGAGGAGGCGGAGGAGGTAGTGGAGGAGGAGGAAGAGGAGGAGGAGGTGGAGAAGGAGGAGGAAGAGGTGGAGGAGGAGGAAGAGGAGGAGGAGGAAGAGGAGGAGGAGGAGGGAGAAGGATCTAGGTGAAGAGCTCTGCAGGCAGCAGAGGGATAGCGAGTGCAAAGTCCCTGAGGCAAGAATCAGTTTTCTCTGCCCCAAGAGCAAGGTCAGAGGTGAGAGCAGAGTGAGCAAGGTGGGTTCAGAGACCCAAGCGGGTTAAGTAAAATTTGCGTAACCTGCACCATGATGAAATCAGCAAATGCTGGCCAGAGCCAGAGTCCTACTCTACATGGTGCCCCTCCACAGATGCCAGGGAGGGGAGATAAAGCTCTCTGGTTTGTGTGAACTGAGGGCCACACTTGCAGAATCTGTGAACTCAGGGAGTCCTTACATGCAGAATCTGTGGCCATTTTTAAACTAAAGAAAGGGAAGTCTCTTGCACATTGCCATGCTCACTCCCACACAGCTTGCTCCTCCAGTAAGGTCTGGAAAGGCCACCTGCTCCAGGTATAAATGACACGCAGTGCTGAGAAGCAGGAGGAGCCTGGCAGAGTGGAGGAGCTCCAGTGGAAGAGAGAGGTCACCTTGGAAAGTGGGTGCAGGGGGTGGATTAGGGCCTCTCCAGTTGCTGTTCCAGCTGGATGGGGTCCAGGGACTGGTCAGGGGTAACAGGACTGGATATGGTCACTGGCTGGTCAGGGTTCAGAGAGGAAGAGGGAGAGCAGAGTAGCGGGACCCAGGGGTTGGAGGAAGGACTCCTACCGTCTTGTTAACTGAAGGCTGGGAGTCAGACTGTGCTCAGCTGGTCCCATGCCCAAATCCTTGGAACCAAATTGAAATATGTACTTTTGGCCGGGCGCGGTGGCTCAAGCCTGCAATCCCAGCACTTTGGGAGGCCAAGGCGGGTGGATCATGAGGTCAAGAGATCGAGACCATCCTGGTCAACATGGTGAAACCCCGTCTCTACTAAAACTACAAAAAATCAGCTGGGCATGGTGGCGCGTGCCTGTAGTCCCAGCTACTCAGGAGGCTGAGGCAGGAGAATTGCCTGAACCCAGGAGGCGGAGGTTGCAGTGAGCCGAGATTGCGCCATTGCACTCCAGCCTGGGTAACAAGAGCGAAACTCCGTCTCAAAAAAAAAAAAAAAAAAAGAAATATGTACTTTTAACAAAACAAGTGTTTCAATTTTCCCTTTAAAAAAGTGGGGAGTCAGAGTGGACTGTATCAATTTCTAAAATCTCCCGAGCCTGAATCCAGGTAGAAAATGTTTAACTTCTCCCACTCTCACCTCAACAGGATTTCGACGCAGCTGATCCAAATCCTTAGTTCTTTAGGTTGGCCACCCCATACTCGAGAATTGCTTCTGTTGCCTTGCTCTCATCCCCTGACCTTTTCAATGCTTCCAGCCGAAGGTTTTAAGGCATCTCCCCTCACCTTCCCAGCTCCAGGCATGAGCTGCAGGCTGGCTGTCACTTAGCTGTAGGCCCTGCATGGAGGACCCCAAGGGGCTTGTGCCATGTGCAGGAAGCCTGGACTCTGTTGGAACTATCCATGCGTTCCTCATGGGTCTGAGTTAAAGCCAGCGGTTCTCAGTGGGCAGATGGGAAAGAGAACATCCTTCCTTAGGGCCATAGGCTCAGAAGGCTGGGCTCATCTCCCAGGGCCCCTGAGATTCCAGGAAGGACACCCCCTTGGGTTGAGATGTGCAAGGTCACCTGTGCTTGGCCTCATCCCCGACCCACCTGGAGACTGACTCCGGGGAGTCTGGGAGTGACTACAGGGTAGCGAGGGAGGGAATTGAGCCTGGTTATCTTCTGGGGGTCAGGAGCCCTGGGATGGGGTGGGGTGGGGGGACCGGGCCGGGGGCCTCAGAGGGCGTTGTGCACTAACTCATGCGTGTCCCTCTCTCAGTGCCACCCGTCCCCCTACTGCAGCTGGAGAAATGCTGCACCCGCAACAACAGTGTCACGCTGGCCTGGAGGATGCCTCCCTTCACCCACAGCCCCGTGGACGGCTACATCCTGGAGCTGGATGACGGCGCGGGGGGTCAGTTCCGGGTGAGGCCTTGCTGCTTGTTTGGCGGGGGCTTGGGGGTACCAGTGCAGAGGCAGGAGTGACTCCCACTGTCCCAAACCCTGGTCCAGCGCACAGGGACATCATGTTGCTATCCTGAGGGGACATTGGCAGAAACGATAAAGAGGGCTGGCCGGCCTGGGCTCACAGAGATGGGACTTCCCTCCCAAGGGCTAGGTCTGGGAGGACTGTCACAGGCGTGGGCTGGGAAAGCTCCGAGGGGGTGTTCTCTGCATCTACCTCCTTCCCCATTTACCGCCAGCCCCTCACACAGCAACCCATTCCCTCAACAGGTTTTATCACACCTTGTCTTGTCTGGTCCTCTAATTATTTCACCAGGCTCTGTCTTGTCTTGGGAGGTATCATGTCTGGAGCCAAGGAAGCACTGTCTGGCCCTCATATACCTGGCAAGGTGCCGGGCGTATAGAGGATGCTCGATAAATGGCTGTTGAATAGGGATGACATTCTCCAGTCACATTCCTGATGACGGACTGTCACGGGGGCAATAAAGGTTCTTTGTGAGCCAGAAATGCTCACAAAGCATTCTACTCCCCAACTGCTAGAAAACCTGGAGCAGGACTCCCCCCAACCCAGACCCCTAATAGAATACCACCTCCAGATTTCACTCAGTGAAGTTCAGGCAGATGTGAATGCCAGGGAGCACAAACTCTAGGCCTTCTCAGATCACCTGCTTCCTAGCCCAGAGAAGATGAAATAAACACGCACTCTAACAAACCACTGCAATCATAGCAACCCCTGCGTTTCTTCTCCTGGGAAGTTGTACTTATTTAACAAATCTTGCCGAAAGTCAACATTCCCTTAGTTTCTCTCAAAGAGATTTATGTATGTGTCATTTTACTTTCTGCTTGAAAAATACAAGAATGTAAGAATTCGGGAAATAATGACAACACTTCCTTGGGAATTGCTGAGTCCCATGTGAATATGGGCCACTTAGGGAGGTAAGATGAGGTTGCTCAAGCCAGATCACTGGGTGCAGACCCCCGTCACTCCCACTATGCAGATTAGCCAAGAACTGAAAGAGCTCCTCCACCAGAAACCGAGAGGAGAGCCGGCGTTTTTGAAATGGGAAGAAAGAAAAGACTGAAAATATTAAAAGCAGCAGCCCTGAGCTCACAAATGGCCCCTCCTCTTTGAGACGTGGCTGCTAACAAAAGCTAGGGTTTATGAGGAAGAGGGTCTTTTTATTTTTATTTAATTATTTATTTATTTTTGAGACGGAGTCTCGCTCTGTCACCCAGGCTGGAGTACAGTGGCGTGATCTCGGCTCACTGCAACCTCCACCTCCCGGATACAAGCAATTCTCCTGCCTCAGCCTCCTAAGTAGCTGGGATTACAGGCATGTGCCACCACACCCGGCTAATTTTTTCTCTTTTTTTTTTTTTTTGGCATTTTTAGTAGAGACAAGGTTTCACCATGTTGGCCAGGCTGATTTTGAACTCCTGACCTCATGATCTGCCCACCTCGGCTTCCCACAGTGCTGGGATTACAGGTGTGAGCCACCCCAACTGGCCATGACTGAATGTAATTTTCCTTTTTCATAACTTTTATTTGGGCAAGATTTCTTTTTTTTTAAATTTTTGGCTGGGCACAGTGGCTCATGCCTATAATCCCACCACTTTGGGAGGCTGAGGCGGGAGGATCACCTGAGGTCAGGAGTTTGAGACCAGCCTCACCAACATAAAATAAAACCCCATCTCTACTAAAAAACACAAAAATTAGCCAGGCGTGGTGGCGCACACTTGTAGTCCCAGCTTGGGAAGCTGAGGCAGGAGAATCGCTTGAACCTGGGAGGTGGAGGTTGCAATGAGCCGAGATCACACCACTGCACTCCAGCCTGGGCAACAGAGCAATACTTTGCCCCTCAAAAAAAATAAAAGTAAAAATTGTTTAAGACTCCAGCGATCCTCTCACCTCATCCTCCTGAATAGCTGGGATGACAGGCCACCACAGCTGGCAGCAGCACTTTTAATGTCAGTGTGTTTCCAGAAGCCAATTGTTAAGAGGAATTGTGCAAATGCTAGAGGAGCCTGGTGAGCAGCATTGCTCTTTTTCAGGAAGTGTACGTTGGTAAGGAGACTTTGTGTACCATCGATGGTCTTCACTTCAACAGCACCTACAACGCCCGAGTGAAAGCTTTCAACTCTTCTGGTGTCGGGCCTTACAGTAAAACTGTCGTCCTGCAGACATCCGATGGTGAGCACGGAGTCTCTTAGTGGGAAGAACGGAGTCATCATTTATCAAATGACAACCAGACAGCCACATGTAGCAGCTATGATGACGGGGTGGGGTGGGGGGTGGTGCTGGGCACAGGTGGGTTCTCCAAGGGCGTTACCCTTCTGGGACCATAAGTGGCCTCCCAGAAGAGGAAGATCGTCTCCTAGGGCCAACCCACATTTCATCCCGTGGACAAAGGTGGGGATGGGGAAGGATCAGCTGCTGAAGATGAGGCTGGGGGTAAGTGCAGGGCCAGAGGGTCCAGATGAGGTGCATATGCCTGACCCTGGTCTGCACACACAGCGCCTGGATGTACCCACCTGCCTACATGCCACGAAAGAAACATTCCTTCACCCCATTGGGCTCGACTAACTATGGAGTAGCTGAGGGAGGCTAAACTCCCCCACTTCTCAAGGGCCGAGGAGTGAGTAGGACAGTCTCAGACAAGAAAACTCCACGATAGATGCAGATGTGGTGGGCCCACACCAGCCCCTGCATCTGAGCCTTTCTCACAGCAGAAAAGTGCCCTTTAATCCCCAGTGGTTTAGGTCTTGGACAACAACAGCATATTGATATTGATTCAGTGGAATTTCAGTCATCTGAGCTCTTAGCAGGAAGCGATGAGGGAAACAGAAAGTCCTGCTCCTCTGGGTGTGGCCCAGCCCAGGCTGCAGAGGCAGCTCTCAGCTCCCCACTGCCTCAAAGAAGAAGGCAAGCCTCACCTTTATTGTTGTCATTTAGTCCACATGTCCTCTGCTGCCACAGCTGGACGGTCTCCCAGAGGCAGGCAGGAGAAGGAGCAGGAGCAGAAGCTGGAGTCAAAGGGCACAGCCAGGGACACTTTTCTGAAAATGGTGCGACCTGCGGAGTCACTTTGTACCTAGAGGAGAGTGCGCTGGCTTCTGCCTGGAGACGCTCCTCCCTAGAGATGAGCGGTCCTTGCCCCGTGTATTGTGGTCATGATTTTAGAGTAAACGCCTCACTTCCGACCTGGGAGTGGTGCTGGGGGCCTGGGGAGCGAAAGGAGGCACCACCTGGTGGCTGCAAAATGGAGAATTGAGCTTTGGGACTTTGGCCACATCGCCTCACCTCTCTGTGTCTCAAATCTCCCACCCACGAGGTGGCCCATTAATATCTATTTCCTCCTGTACTTTATTTTTATTTTTATTTTTGAAATGGAGTCCTGCTCTGTTGCCCAGGCTGGAGAGCAATGGCATGATCTCAGCTCACTGCAACCTCCACCTCCCGGTTCAAGCAATTCTCCTGCCTCAGCCTCCTGCATAGTTGGGATTACAGGTGTGCACCACCACACTCAGCTAATTTTTGTGTTTTTATTAGAGACGGGGTTTCACCATGTTGGCCAGGCTGGTCTCAAACTCCTGACCTCAGGTGAGTTACCTACCTCAGCCTTTCAAAGTACTGGGATTACAGGCTTGAGCCACCATGCCTGGCCTATCTCTCCTGTACTTCTAACTGTGTCTGAGTGTTTGGAAGGATATTAGAAATCAAGACCAGAAAATGCATCTAGATTTGGGGCTTTGAGGTCTGAAACCCTGGCAAGGCTGTGCTCATAGGGCTGGCAACTTAGATGAACACAGAGCAGGGAGTGTGTGAGCGTGTGCATGTGCGTGTGCATGTGTGTACATGTGTGTGTGCATGTGTGTGTGTGCTCACGTGTGAGCTAATCATTACAGGAAAGACCCTTCACTGCGGGGTGCTCACTCTAACACAAGTGAGTGTGTTTTTGTCTCTGATCCGGTTAGAAATTACTAGCAAATTCCATCCCCTGACTCTGCTCCTCTTGCCTTTCTTTTTCAGTGGCCTGGTTCACATTTGACCCCAACTCTGGGCACCGGGACATCATTTTATCCAATGACAACCAGACAGCCACCTGCAGCAGCTATGATGACCGGGTGGTGCTTGGCACGGCCGCGTTCTCCAAGGGCGTACACTACTGGGAGCTGCACGTGGACCGGTACGACAACCACCCAGACCCTGCCTTTGGGGTGGCCAGGGCCAGCGTGGTCAAGGACATGATGCTGGGCAAGGACGACAAGGCCTGGGCCATGTACGTGGACAACAACCGCAGCTGGTTCATGCACTGCAACTCCCACACCAACAGGTGCGCTGGGCCCCATCCTGCCTTCCGCCAAAACGGGCTGTTTGGGAATGAGGGTCCTGAAGGCCAGTGTCCCTTCTGCTGTCCCCAAAGCCAGCAGGAATTGGGAGGAGGTATTTTCAGCCACTTGGGCCTCCATTCTTTAGGAGACTTTGGCTCTGTCCATGTAGAACTGGCCTGCAGCCCAGATAAAGTTATATTATGGTGACTCACAGAGGACCAGCACAGATGGGTCTCTTGAGTTACCCAGCAGGCCACACAGTGGTCCTCTGCTGGGATATGGAACTCGTAGTTTTCTTTCTGGTCGGGCTTCACTTTCCTTTGCAACTGTCAACCCAAGCTTGAGTCACTGCAGGGCATTATTGGGCACCGCTGGGGCTGGTGTCCTCACAGCTGTGACCAAGTCATTGCCACCAACTTACCTGCAGCGATCCTGGCCACTGCCCTGGTCTCACGTGGGCTTGAGCCTCGGCAGGGCCAGGCCCTCTACAGGGCAGTAGTGAAGGGCATGGCTGGGGTGCTTACTACTCATGAGTCTGCCAAGGGAGCCTGCAGCTATGGCTTTGCCCTGAGGCTGGCTCCGGGAGTAGGGTCACCAGCGTGGACACAGGAGACTCAGGTCCTGGCCTGTGTCACTACTGGGGTCTCCGTTAGGAGGGCAAATGGGAATGCATCCTCTGGGGCTGCCCTGGAAAAATGCCCCCAAGGCCTGGGCCTCTCCAGGGTGCCTTGGTCTTTCTCCTCAGACACAGAGGAGGCAGTGGACCCCTGACACCTACACCATAGCTCGGTACTCTTTCCCCTCTCCTGGGGATTCTGTGCTCACACGTGGCCGGCATGTGGGGATGGAGGTGGGAATGAAGAATCCCCAAGGCCAGAAATGGAGGGTTGCAAGTTGCAGCCACCTGGAGCCACCTCCTTGCTATGGGGCCTTGCTCCTGGTCTGCTAAGGGCCCTATCCCCCATAGGAAGGGGTGAAGAACTTCAAGGAGCCCACCCTGACTTCGCTGGCCCCAGCCACAGCCCCAGGCAAAGTTGACCTCGGAGGCTTACTGTGCTCTGGGCCCACTTGCAGTTCCTATAACAGCTCCTGGGGCACCTTCCCACAGAGGAAAGACCAGCTTCTTCTTTCTCAGGAAAGCAAGGTCTGGTCTGGGCCAGGGACACACCCAAGGGCCCTCAGGACCCCGCCTTCCTGCTTCTTTGCTGGTAGGCAGGGTCCCTTCTCTCCTGAGTCCTGGGGGAGATGTGGGCAGCTCTGTCCCTCTGCCCAGACACTGCAGGCTGGCCATTCTCCATCTCAGCCACAGAGGGGCCAAGCCCAGGCCCATCAGCTCCGTCTCTGCTTGCTTAAGCCAAACTGGCACCCAGATGTCCTGTTTGCTGGCGGCAGTAATAACAACAAGCATTTATCAAGCCCTTACTGTGCTCAGTGCTGTAGGAAGCACTCGATGTGTCTGACATCAGATTTCATTCAATCCTTGCAAAAGTACTATTATTGCTGCCATTTTACAGATTATAAAACTGGGGCTTAGGCTGGGCATGGTGGCTCGCACCTGTAATTCTAGCACTTCAGGAGGCCGAGGCAGAAGGATTGCTTGAGCCCAGGAATTCGAGGCCAGCATGGGCAACTTGGTGACACCCTGTCTCTATAAATAAGAATAATTTTTAAAATTAGCCAGGCATGTTGCTGTGTACCTGTAGTCCCAGCTACTTGGGAGGCCGAGGCAGGAGGATCACTTGAGCCCAGGAGCTCAAGACCAGCCTGGGCAACATAGTGAGACCCTCCTCTCTACAAAAAAAAAAAAAAAAAAGTAAGCCTGGGCTTTCAAAGGTCAGACAATGGCTCAGGTCACGCGGCCAGTTGATACTGTCAAGGTTGAACCCAAGGCCCCAGCCTGGCCTGTGTGGTGCAGACTCCCCAGCTGTCCCGGCTGTTGACCACCACATCCCTCCCAAGGGCTGCGGAGCCCTTCTCGGGCCTCAGCTGTCCTTGACAGCCCATGGGTGCCACCTCAGTAAGAAAAGCAGAAGGGAAGTGGGGCCAGGAGAAGGTAGAGAGATGTCTGCATGTCCTCCCACCCCTTGGATGTGGGTCAGGTAGGGTAAGCGCTGTGGGGGAGGAAGCCGAGGCAGCAGAGAAGCTGGACCCCAGAGCTGACTGGGCCTGAGGCTTTGCTTAGGTGGGACCCATTCCCGTACCTCCCGTGGGTCACTACCACCACCCGGTGGTCAGTGTCCAAATAGCATCAACAGCATGGTTCTAGTTCCAGCCTCCCACGTGCCAGATGCCACCCTGGACACCCTTGGGGAAAAACCCTGCTCTCTTCTGGAAACACCCTCTGGGCCGCCCACCAAGTCCTCCTTGGGACTTCCTGTCGTGAATTCTCGCTGCTCACCTTCCCTCTGCCCTATCAGCAGCGTCCAGTTGATAAACTCATTCCCAAGCTGGAAAGACAAACGTGGTTTTCTTAGCAGAGTGCAGCTGCTAAGGCTAAGCCCTCAGCCCTGAGAGGGCGGGGTGGCTCAAGCCTGTGTCTCAGCTACTCAGCAGGCTGAGGCAGAGGGATCCCTTGAGCCCAGGAGTCCTGGGCAACATAGTGAGATCCTCATCTCTATAAAATATTTAAAAGTTAGCCGGGCATGGTGTGTGCCTCTAGTCCCAGCTATTCAGGAGGCTGAGGTGGGAGGATCCGTTGAGCCCAGGAGTTCCAGGCAACAGTGAGCTATGACTGCACCACTGCACTCCAGCCTGGGCCACAGGGAGAAACCTCCACTCAAAAAAACAAAACAAAACAAAACAAAAAAACAAGCTGGGCGTGATGGCTCACACCTGTAATCTCAGCACTTTGGGAGGCCGAGGTAAGTGGGTCACCTGAGGAGTTTGAGGCCAGCCTGGCCAACATGGTGAAACGCTGTCTCTACTCAAAATACAAAAATTAGCCAGGTGTGGTGGCGGGCGCCTGTTATCCCAGCTACTCGGGAGGCTGAGGCAGGAGAATTGCTTGAACTTGGGAGGTGGAGGCTGCAGTGAGCTGAGATCGCGCTACTGCACTCCAACCTGGGTGACAGAGTGAGACTTCATCTCAAAAAAAAAAAAAAAAAAAAACCCACCTCAGAGAAGGAGAGTCTGCAGGATTCAGCCAATGCGGGAAGACCTGGTCAGCCAAGCCCCCCTTGGGAGCGTGTTCCTTACTTTTATTAATGGATTCCCTTCCACCAAGTGGATGTGAATTCCTGCCACCTACGAAGTACGACATACCCAACACAGCTCAAGAGCACAGTGGACGTTCTCAAGGTTTCGCTGTTGGTCACCTGTGGGATGGTGACTCCGACAGAGGACTGATTTCCACTTCAGCACCCTTTCCCCTGCCATACGCCACTTTTCAAGGGACCCTGGGATGTTTCTGGGAAGATGAGCCAATGTAGGGTAGGGACCTTTCAAAATTTCCTGAAGGCCTGGATGTCCACATCTTCATCAACCTCAGCATCCTCACTTGGCTAGAGCAGGAAAGGGCACCAAGTTAATTATTTTCTTTGGCAGGAGATGGTGCCTTTCTTACCCATTCTCCATGCCCCACAGTTTCAAATGGGACCCACTCATCAAAACCTGAATTTTCTAGTGTGCAGGTCCCAGATGCTGTCAGAAAAAGGGGACTGAACAGCCTGGTTCCTCTAGGGGAAAGTCTCCATCATGGCCTTTTAACAAGGTGGGTCCACAATGCGACAGAAGGCTCTTGTGCCCAGGATGGCACCCCACCACCACCTTGGGGACTATGTTTAAGTGAGGGTGTTCCCAGCATTCTGTAAATAATTTTCCTGGCCAAGTGCAATGGCTCATGCCTGTAATCCCAGCACTTTGGGAGCCCAAAGTGGGAAGATCACTTGAGCATAGGCATTCAAGACCAGGCTGGGCAACATAGTGAGACCTCCATCTCTACAAAAAATACAAACAAATTAGCTGTGTATCATGTCATGCACCTGTAGTCCCAGCTACTCGGGAGGCTGAGGTGGGAGGCTCTCTTGAGCCTGGGAGGTCGAGGCTATTGTGCACTGAGATAGCATCACTGCATTCCAGCTGGGGCGACAGAGTGAGACAGTGTCTCTAAATAAATAAATAATTCTCCTGAGTTATCACCTACATCCCAGGCTGGGTGTGGTGATGGTCTTCCTGGGGACTCTCTTCCCAGGACGGAAGGCGGCGTATGCAAAGGGGCCACCGTCGGCGTGCTGCTGGACCTGAATAAGCACACCCTGACCTTCTTCATCAACGGGCAGCAGCAGGGCCCCACAGCCTTCAGCCAGGTGGACGGGGTCTTCATGCCAGCCCTCAGCCTCAACCGCAATGTGCAGGTACACGCGTCCCGCAGGCCGGACCTGGCCTGGCTGCTCCCCACCGTTTGCCACAGGTCTCTGCAGTGCCCTTGGTCAGAGTGGGCCATTAAAAAGCTGACCACAGGCCAGGCGCGGTGGCTCACACCTGTGAGCCCAACACTTTGGGAGGCCAAGGTGGGTGGATCACAAGGTCAGGAGATAGAGACCATCCGGGCCAACATGGTGAAACACCGTCTCTACTAAAAACACAAAAATTAGCTGGGCATGGTGGTGCCTGCCTATAATCCCAGCTGCTGGGGAGGCTGAGGCAGGAGAATCACTTGAACCCGGGAGGCGGAGGTTGCAGTGAGCTGAGATTGCGCCACTGCACTCCAGCCTGGGTGACAGAGCAAGACTCCATCTCAAAAAAGAAAGTAAAATAAAGTAAAAGCTGACCACAGTGCCTGCCCAGACAGAGCTTATCAACTGGATATTTCCTGGAGGTGGTCCTCTAACTTGTTCACTTGGGACATCCAGGGGCCCTAGGGTGGCAGCTTCTGGAGAAGCAGATCTCAGGGCTGAGTCATCCTTGGGGAGTGCTGGTAGCTCAGGAGGCCTGAAACAGAGACAAGAATGAGAGCTCAGGAGGGTGTGAGGGACAGAGAAACACGGAGCTGCCATCCTTCTTCTTAGCAGAGTCTTCCTTTCCCTTGGGGTGGGGAGTTGGAGTGGAGTGAGGCAGGGTCCTGTTTTGTGGTCCTGAATATTGAGGAGTCTATATCAATCACTGATTGATCGATTCAATCCTCTACTCATTTAGAAAAGGGATTTGTGGCAACCTAAAAGATGGGCTTGGCAGGGCATGTTGGCTCACACCTGTAATTCCAGGACTTTGGGAGGCCATGGCAAAAGGATCACTTGAACCCGGAAGTTTAAGACCAGCCTGGGGAACTAGCAAGACACCATCTCTACCAATTAACAAATAAGTTTTTTTAATTAAAAAAATAGGCCAGGCACAGTGGCTCATGCCTGTAATCCCAGCGCTTTGAGAGGCCGAGGTGGGTGGATCATGAGGTCAGAAGTTCAAGACCAGCCTGGCCAAGATGATGAAACCTCGTCTCTACTAAAAATATAAAAATTAGCTGGGCGTGGTGGTGGGTGCCTATAATCCCAACTACTTGGGAGGCTGAGACAGAGAATTTCTTGAACTCAGGAGGTAGAGGTTGCAGTGAGCTAAGATCCTGCCATTGCGCTCCAGCCTGGGTGACAAAGCAGGACTCTGTATCAAAAAAATATAAATAAATACATAAATAAAAGGTTGGCTATTATTCCTCACAGTTAATAGAACGGGGTTAATAGGAAAGGAAAGAGGGTCATGGCTAGAAAGTAGACACAAATATGGAACCACAGGAGCCAGTGCATGAGAGCCATGCTCCTGTGATAACGTCTAATTTGCCAGCTCCAGCAGCTCTGGCAAAATGAGGAACCAGGCAGCTGAGTGATTCTTATGAGAAAAGGGGTGCAAACCAACATCGCCTTTAATTAGGGATATTGAATGATGTAATATTCAACCATCTACAGCAGCCCTGAGCTGTAGCCTGGGATGGATGGAGCCAGCAGGAGATCCTGCCGGTGTCTGCTGTGCCCTCGCAGGACCCAGGGTCCCCATGGCAGCCTCTCCCACCCTCACATCCCCTGTCTTCTTTTCCAGGTCACCCTGCACACAGGATTGGAAGTGCCCACTAACCTGGGGCAGCCAAAGCTGTCAGGCAATTAGCCCCGTTCCAGCTCGGCACGGCGCCTATGACGGTGGCATTCACAGGCAAAATGCCCACCATTCTCACTAAGCTCAAATAACCCACAAAAGCAGGATACGCAAGTCATGGGTGCAACCTGGCAGCGTGGAATGTCGTAGAGACACATTTTCTTGGGGCACGGGGGATGAGTCCACAGGCCGTGCCCCCGGCCGCCACAGTTGGTGGTAAAGGCGGGTACATGTGCCACCCTTATTCACCCAGACATCACTCTTCAAGAAGGACCTTTCTCAAGGGAGTCAGCATTTGGGCTTCATGTCTAAGTTTCCTGCCATCTGTTTTCAAAGCTTGTCTTTTTTTTGGAGGGAGAGGAAGGGAGACTTTGAGTCTGGCCTCCTGAGAGCGGCGATCAGGAGCTGCGCGGTCATCCCATACCCCGGGTGTTGGCCCTCTGCTGGGACGCCACCTCCTCAGAGCCCCAAGGTTGCCGATTCTTGTCATGCTGAGAAAGTTCTCCTCTACTTCTTGGTCCTTGAGTCTTTAGTAGCACCTGCCACTTGCAGATCCAATGCAGGATTGATAGAAGGGGACATTGATCATCATGCTTGACTTTTGCCTCTCTCACTGAAGTGCTGAGAACCTTTTAAAATGGCTTCCTTTATTAATCAGCCAATTGCATTCTTTCTTTCTCTCCCTTCTCCCTCTGTCTTTTCTTTTTCCTCCCTCCTTCTCTCTCTCTCCTTCCCTCGCTCTTTCTTCCTTTTCTCCTTTCTCTTTATTTCCTCCATCCCTGCATCCCTGTCTCTTTCTTCCCTCTTTCCCTTTTTCTCCCTCTTTCTCTCTCTCTCTCTCTCTCTCTCTCTCTCTCTCTCACACACACACACACACACACACACACACACACACACAAGACTGACAGCTTCCTAAAATTAATTCACCCATTCTTCCTTCTTTTTTTTTTTTAGATGGGGTTTCACCATGTTGGTCAGGCTAGTCTTGAACTCCTGACCTCGGGTGATCCACCTGCCTTGGCCTCCAAAGTGCTTGGATTACAGGTGTGAGCCACCGAGCCCAGTTCTTAGTTCTTAAATGCACATGAAAACACGAAAATTTTAACAGCTATGTGATAAGTCTTCACCTGGTGGTGGCTCCTTTCTGAAACTGGTAACCCAAGAAGTTAACTGAAAACGCATCCAAATTGCTCTTCTGAGCTGAACCACTCTGAGATTCATAAGCATGTAAGATGGGAGACCCTGGGAAAGCCTCTCCTAGTCAGTCCACCCTATTGTCATTATGAAAGCATCATGAACACAAGTGGACCCTGTGGCAGGCAGGGTGGCTCTGCCCTGATGGGGTGGGCGGGACCTCTGGGGAAGGCAGAAAATAGAAGAGCAGTATCAGGCACCTTGTCCCCCAGCTTCCCACTGTGAGACTGGCTGTGCCGAGTCTGACCTGCCAGTGTGGGGCTCTGGAAACGCCAGCCTTCTCCCTCGAGATCCACATTAAGTCATCCCTACCTCTCCGAGAGAGCTCATGGGAGGGGCTCTGAGCCAGGAGCCTGCCGGGGGTTCTGTTCCCAGGGAACCCTTCCTCTCTTCCCTCCTCTCACCTTCCCAGTCACCTGCCACCTCCAGCTCCGCCTGGTAGTAACATTTCTGTCTCCTTTTAAAAAGAATGCATTTGTCAAGCATTTTCTTTCTGAGGCTGAGAAGTAACTTGTCAATTTGCTGGACTGGATTTTTATAAAAGCTCACTACGTACACCGGCACTGACTGTGCGTCCTCGGTTCTGCCTTCCTGTTCAGACACCACGCCTGCTTTCAAAACCGCCTGCCGGAGCCACGCAAGTCCTCCCCTGCCCTTCAGCAGGCCCGACAACCCTACCTCAAAGCTCATGCTCTTGGTCTGCGAGGCTCCTGGTCCGCTGTCTTTGCAGCTGTGGCGGGCAAGGCCAGCTGCCCCGTGGCTAGGAGCTGCCCGGTGCTGTGTTGCAGCCTCTGCTGCAGAGCCAGCGAGCCATCTTCTTCGTGGAAGTCTAGGTCTTGCCTCTTCCTTGTCATCCCACCAAGCGGTTTCTGGCTCTCCTCCTCCCATCCCAGAGCCCCGTCCAGAGCCCTTGGAGGTTACACACAAGACCTGGTACCCTGTGTCCTCGCCCGCACAGCTGCCTCTCTCTCCCATCTTCCTGCAGCTTCATCCTTAGCCATAGCTCTGGGTGGCCATGGCTTAGAGCACAGGGGAGATCCCTAAAGATTGGGGACAAAGAGGAGCCACCACTTTCCTGGGGCTGAGGAAGCCATCAGCTTTGGGAAGTGTCTAGCTCTCTTCTGAAGAAAACAGGCCCATACCCTGCCCCTGGAATGAGAGCGGGCCACGCAGGGCTGCCCGCGGAGAGCATCTTCTCACAGGGGAGGCCCGGGAGGGCTGTGCAGCCTCCCGCATCACCACAGCCCGGGTCACCAGGTGGCCCCCGCTCTGCCTCTGCGGAGGAATCAGGAATTGCTCATCACTGGAGCACGGGCTGCCTGAAACTACCCCCTCTGAGGGAGCAGCATCCAGGTGAGGAGAGATGTGGAAAGTGCAGGAGAAAAATGCCCACAACTCTGATGGCCTCGTTCAGAAGAAAATTCCCTGAAGTCCAGAGAGGGGCGGCCAGGACTCCCTCTTCCCCACTGTGGTCCTGAGCCTGGGGGCTGGGAATCTCCCTTTTCTGACTCCTCCAGGAGCCCAGAAGCAATATGGCCAATGCCAGGGACAGCATCTAGCGATCCTCCACAGACACCTCTCCCAACTTCAGCACAAAACACCTTCAATGTTCTGACTTCAAAGAGAAGAGGAGGTCTGTGCCACACACTTGTGTTTTTGAGGGATCAGAAAAGTGAAGAAGGATCTTATCAATCCTTCATGGCCGGGAAGGTCATGGCCAGAATAGAAATGACACACAGCTCGTGGAATTCTCATCCACCATTGAATTCTGTAACATGTTACATCACGGTGGCATATTTGTACATATAAATGATATCGAGATGATGCTTTTGTTGGGCTGGCTGAGGAGTAAGTTGGTGTAAATCTATCAAGCAGTTTCAGTGAAAAAGGAATTCAAAGTAGTTTAAAAACGTCACGTTCCATTGCATTGTAAATACCACCTCTGTGATGTGCTTCTGCAGTTGCTCTTTGCTAGTGAGCAAGTTTGGTCAAAGTGTATGCCTTTTCCTTTTCAAATTAATCTCTTTTCAAAAATATCCACTAGCACCTCACTGCATACGTAGCATCCCAGCTCCTAATTCAAAGCAGGGGAAGTATTTCCCTGAAGCCTGCTTTTCCCCTCTCTGTTCTCCTTGGGAAAATCATAATTCCAATTAAAGAGGACAACAGTAATACTGACCCACAAGGTAACTGACCTAAAAACTATAAACCTGTATATAGTTCCAGGCTGCATCTTCAGCCTGATATGTACTTTGTAGTTGCAGCAGTGCCCTAGGTGCCCAATGCCCACCAAGTTTGGGGAGGGTGGTGCTTTCCGGATCGAGCCTGGGCAGATGCTGTGGAGCTCACCAAGAGAGCTGGGGGCAAGCCCACTTTCCTCTTTGCCCCCTTTCTCTCCCTCTTGATGCCCCTGCCCTCCATCCCACCACAGCACTCTCAGGAAAGGATCAGAATGCAGGATCTTTGTGTATTTCTTCCAGGGATATTTGCATTTAAGCCTTAATTCTAATTGCAAACGAAAGGCTTGGTCCCCCTGGGAAGGTGCATTTCAGCACCTGGAGGCAGGTGGCTCAACATCAGGGAAGTTGCTGCCAGTCCCATGGCCACCTGCTGGCTGTGAGGTAGTGAGGGAGGGTCAGTCCTTAGGGGGACTCAACACTGTTGCACAGCCTGTGGGGTGGCACCAGGGTTTCTCAACCTCTACTGACATTTTGCAGTAGGTCTTGTACACTGTAGAATGTTTAGCAGCACCTCTGGTCTCTCTCTACCCATCACCTGCCAGTAGCATCCCCCACGTTAGTTGTGACAACCAAAAACATCTATAGACATTGCCAGATCATCTCCTGGGGCCTCCGCAAGTTGAGAACCACCAGGTTATGCTAGCAGTTTGTCATGGGTGGATCTGCGGAGGGACTGTGGCGCTCCGGCTGCATTGTTCTGTAGAAAGCCTGGATGTGACAAAGCTGCCAGCCTTTATCTTGACACCCAAGCCCAGTTTTTCCGACGGTCTTCAGGGGGCAGGCAGGGGAAACTGGGGTGAGCCACCCCCAACAGATGCTAACCTGTTGGGTCTCGAAATTTGACTCGCTGAAGATGTCCCCAACCCCCTCCCCAATTCCTAGAAAGCAAAACATGTAAACTTTGTTTTCCTTGGCCACATTTTACTGGAAGCAACAGAAACTTCTTAATGGGTTTGTGGCCCTCAATTGGTTTTTAAAAAATCTAACAGATGTTACTGGCAAACACTCAAGATCCATGGTGATGCTGGAAAGTTTCAGGACTTTTCTTCTGCAAGTGAGCGGGTAGCTGTGTTTGCTAACTGCATTCTTTGGCAGTTCCTCCTGGAAGATCAAAGGATCCTGCGGCTTTAACTGTATCTAGGCTGTAAAAACATGAGCGCACGTTTCGGGCAGGATGTATTGATCAGACACCAAGTTCAGCCCTCAGTTACTTCCCTCTTTTAGCCTGGCTTTAATAGTGATTCATGGTATGGGTGGGGGCCAATCTCTTAACCTTTCTGTGCCTCAGTATCCCCTCCTGAAATGGGACTAGTCATACTAACCTACCTCCTCTGATGTATTGTGAGGATTATAGAATAACACTTTTTAAAGAAAAAAGTGGTCTTTCATCTCTGGCATCTAAGTTAATGATTCCCATCCAGTGAATCAAACCTGTGAGGGGTTTCTAGTGTTCTCTGACCAGTGTCTTCCATCCATGCCTCCTTGTGACCAGGGCAAGGAGCTGCCTGGCCGCGAGTGGGTGAAATAGACCTTTAAGACAGGTCTCCTATGACCATAGAAAGTAACATGCCATATGTTCCCATTCCCAGTGAGGCTTGTGTCAATAGGCCGCCTGTCAGCAATCTCACTGCTAGGCCTCAAGTCCTCTGTGGGCGGAAACCCCCTTAAACCAAGGAAGGGCATTAACCCAGGCCTCTGCCTTCTCTGTTACTTAAGTTCTGGTATCTAAGGGGTCTCTCAACCCATAGCTTGTCTCCTTTCTTTCCAAAGGTCTCTGCAGTGTGAGTGGGTTTGAAATCCAGTATGGACAGTGTGAAGAGATGCAACTGAGCTGAGGTTTCGAAGGCTGGTTGGGCTAGTGGGTCATCACGTCACTTTCAGATGACTGATAACCACTGGGGCTTCACCGGCACAGGCTATGCGGGTTGGGGAGACCCTGGCCTTTTCAATGATTGACATTGACATCAGTCAGGAGCTGGGAGTTGAGCCCTCCAGGAAAGTCTCGTCTGGAGCCATGGCTCTTCCCTCAAGGAGTGCAGTCCTGGGGAGGGCCCAGGGACTCGTGAGCCAGTGATGCAGGCGCTACAGACCAGGCCAGGCCCTCGGGTAAAGCACTGAGGAGAGGTCAAAACCAGGCTTCAGGTGCGGGAAGGTGACTGCCGGCAACTGCCATAGCAGGAATGTGTCAGGTACTTACCGGGTGAGACCCAGCCCAGGAAGCCTCTCCACCTCCTCCCAGCCCTGGAAACTGGACATCCAGAGCCCCCGGCTTTCTCAGCACCCAGAGG